TACTCCCCTATATAATTCCTTATATAACCCCCTTTAAGGAGTTTAGACTATGGCTCATATAACCCCTACTCCCCCCCCCCCTAGTACTATCCAAGCTCACCTCACAGCCTGCTAAGGCTTCAGCTGGGGATGGGCTTCTCGTTCCAATCTCGTACTGGTACATGCAAAACATGTGTCCTGTCAGCTGGAGCAAGCCTAAACTCTTAGCCCTACTTGTTGGGGAGTGTGGTAGAGCTGTGTTAAAGGCCCTTAAGATTCCTTAAGTGGATTGGGGGGCTTCATATACTCGGGCAACGTCATCCGCAAGGCAGAGGGCAACAGCCGGAGGCGGCCACTCCTGCAAATGGTCCGTTGCCAACCATCGGAGATTTCTTGATGGGCTCTTCCCTGCAGCGGCATATCATGGCTTGAGTGCTTGCCCTATGAATGGAATTGCGTTTGCTAGTCTTACAGCCAATCAGGATCGCCTCCTAATTGAAACATCTAGACCTCTCATGAAGCATACATTGATCCCTACCAGATCTACCCACTTGCGCATCTCCCGGCCAGCCGCACGGGTCAGAGGCCCCGGCTGGATGTTGTTGACGGACTGTATGGTGAGGGACGTGTCCTTACAGAATCGCCCGCCTACACAGACCCAATCATCAACATCCATGTGATCCTCCCATAATGTCAATTGCGGTCATGCCAGGAGCCTACGTGACAAGCACATGTTTCGTGCACTTATTGCGAGGATGGGTGGCAATCATCCTCTGGACAAGCTGGGCGCTGAGCATTCGCATTGAGGGCCGCTGGCAGAATGAATCCCTGGCATGGAGCACCCCTGCACCTTGAAGTACTACAATTTACTACAACTGCAGTATATTTGAGGCATACCAACAAAGCTCTTGTTCTCTCGGGTGGTCACTGGATAAGATTTTGCTTGTTGACTGTCATTTCTTTGCCGTAGGTTTGATGGCACACCTCGAGATCTTAATAAGGCATAAGAGGCTTTCCAGTTCCTTCGTCAACTACTTGGAGGGTCACGGAGATTTAGTAAGTAGGTTCTTAATGGTGGGTAACTTAGGTTATCATCTGGCTTATGGCGGGTTATTGACCTGCTTACTATATTGTAGTTTCCATTTTCTTTTCCATTATCCCTATATACCCCCAATATAATCCCAATATACTACAGTAGTTTCCATTTTCTTTTCCATTATTACATATTCTTACTAAGTCCCCCTGACCCTCCAAGTAGGGCGCAAGTGCCAACTCCCGCGCTTTGCCAGCGTGCCAGTGGGGCCTGACTCTCTTCGATGCGGAGATCCATCATTGTGAAGGCGGGGATCACCTCTCTTCGAGGCACCGTCAGCCTCATCAAGTAATAATAGTAAGAATACTGATAATGATAGTAGTAATAACAATAATCTTGAGGAATAGTAGAAATACATAGTTATAGATGATTAAGATAGCAAAGTGGAGCTACTACTGACAACAACTGCGCAGCAGTAGTACTGGCAGTACTACGTCTTTTCTGATGCAAGAAACGGTGAAAGTCCACCTTCACCAGTATCAGTAGCTTCCTTGTCTGATGCTGGAATTGTGTACCGCATGCTCGAGCGCTGAGGGAACTGCCTTAACCTTGCAGTCGTCTCGTTCCAGTAGCCCATGGAGTTCTCGATGCGGAACCGATCCTGGAGCTATAACAAACCCTATTACAACCCCAGTTTCTGCTTCATGTTCCATCTTCTCGCCAGTTGATTCTACAATGTTGCGGTAAGAATGCCCTATTTCAAAAACCCTCTAAAACCTATATAAGCTCCTTTACTGCAGGCAAAGCAGTAAATCACTGAGTTCTTAGAGCCAAGCAGCTCGAAATGTACAACTTAGTAGTATCTATGACGGGCGTTTAACCGGTTGGGCTCTGACGGAGCTATATATGGTAGTTGCCCAAAATCAGGCTACCCCAAGATAGACCCCAATATAGAATATAGTTCTTATCATAATGGGGGTCCCTAATTTTGGGCAACCCCCAAGTTTCTTCCCTATCAGATATCCGGACCACATGTAGGAACCGCACGTCGCCCATGATGTGGATGTTCACTTTGGACAGCGAGTTCCGGAAACCGGGCCTGGAGCAAAGTCATATACTAGAATATACTACAATATACTATAACATGCTATAATAATACACTAATATACTGTGACAATAATATACAGCTTGCAAGTGGTTCTTTTTAAATGGTTCAAGCAAGGTAAGATACGATGAGTCTTACTGTGCGTTGGGGACTCTGGTGCCCCCAACTAAAAAAAGACTTGCCTGGTTTCTACCATTCCTCCTGCTGCACGTGTCTACCAATGGTTTCCACGTTCACCATCAAGTTGTCGTTTGGGCAAGCAGAAACTGTACGCTTCCCCCCCTATATCCGCTCTTTTGATATGACCAGCGAGCAAAAAAATCCATAGCTGGCATGCATGCTGCCCACGTGACCAAGCGCTTTGGGTCACATCCCGCAGCTTACGCAGTACCAGGAGCCGGTGACCGGCTCGAGAAATCGAACGAATATGGGTGATCGCCCTCTCGTTCAGCTTCGACTAACGCATAGCGTCCAGTTGCTTGCCAAAAGCCACACAACCTCTATGGTCACAGCGCAAGGCGACGCGTGCCTCAATTTGGGTCGCATAAGGGATGCTGCGATGGTTCTGCAGCCGCCAGGGCGCCGAGGCATCGCTTCGCTTCCAGGTTTGAGTTGCCAGCAGGGTCGGGCCCAGAACAGGAAACTCTATGCAGGTGGTGATGGAGGTGGTCTCTGAGAGGCTGACACAATCTGCGCTCGCCGTCTTGAGCTCTGGCCGGTTCTCTGGCGCCAGCACCACGTCCCAGGGGCTCAAGTTCGTGCTCTTTGTCTCAGCATCCACCTGAATGGCAGCTGTGAGCTCCGGATCATCCGCCTTGTCCTGAGGGCACCGGGCATGGATGATGCCTCCTGATGAATCACGAATTATAGAGTTACCCATATAAGGATTTCCGGCGTAATCGTAAGAGGTAGATGATCAAATTTCCGACTTTGGAAAAGGTCCGGCCGATGGGACACCCAAACACCGAAACCCTGAAACCCTAAATCCTAAACCCAGTGTCAGATGGGAGACTCCGAAAATCAGGGCATCATAGAGCGTATGAGCATGTATGAGCGACAATATTTCCAACAGAATTAATGGGAATGGGCTGCTATTCGGAAATCTATTAGGGACTATACTGAACTGCGAAAGCCGACCCCTATGTCCACCCTCCATGGTCAATATTGATTGTAGCTCATACATGTATAGTATATGTATACGTATATACCTGGGGTCCCTACATGTACAGTGTACACCTACTTTGAGAACCCTACACATGAAGTACCAGCATTACTACTACTACTACTACTACTACTACTACTACTACTACTACTACTACAACAATTATTCCCTTCAATAACTGATTTTTGCCAGTATTCCTTTTATTGCCATTATTACTACTTGTATCATTACTATTATTACTACAATGACTATTATTACTACAATGACTATGATTACTACAATGACTATGATTACTATTATCACTAGTATACTGTTATTACTGTTCCATAGCCCAGTAGCTCCGAACATCTCGGCTATGGCTTTGGCATCCCCTTCACAGAGTGCTCGGTAGAACTCCTCCTAGGCAATTTCTTTCTGGCTCTCAAAGACGGAATGGTAAGAAAATGGAGCTATTATATGATATAGGGGCTGCTCTAGGAATCCCTTCCTCCGCAAACTACTAACAACCAGTAAGCTTTCTTTTCTGACACGAGAAACTTTATTGCTTTTATAGTTTGGGGGCAGTGCAACCCGAAACATACAGCTGGAATAACTATGACGAGATGGTCGGGATGCCCCCTGAAGGATTCCATAGACTTTGGTAGACAGACTCCTTTCCGGGCTTCCAAAATTAAATTCTCTACCCTGATCTGTCTCAATCCGAACTCCTAGAACCTAAAGCCCAAACCCTACATCCTCAATCCCTACACCCCAAAGCCTTGACCTAAAGCCCAAGCCCCTAATACCCTAAATCCCTATATCATCCCAGTGTTTCGTTCATTGCCCATGTCCTTTTCCATGCGGTTCTCCATTCTTGGAAGATTATCCCGAAGACTAATCTAATCCTAAACTCTAAACCCCTAAACCCTGACACCTAAGCCCTGAACCTAAACCCTAATTTTGGAAACCTAAGCCCCAAACCTTAACCCCAACTTTGGGAACCCCCCAACCTTACCCCAATGTATACCCTATTATATTATAGTAGTTTCCATTTTCTTTTCCATTATCCCCATATAACCCCAACATATACCCTATTATACTATAGTAGTTTCCATTTTATTTTTCATCATCCCTATATAANNTAAACCCTAAACCCCCAAAAGGGACTCCTGGGCTTCCAGAGCGCCGCTCGCCTCCGCCATAGCATAGCACTCCTCGAGGGAGCTCAGCCGCTTCAGCGGCGGCATTGCAGCAAGCACCTCGCTGCTTAGGGTTTAGGGTTTA